ATATATATATATATACACACACACACACCACTGTACTGTGGTAGCTTGGTGGTCAGTGCGATGGTCCAGGCAGTTCAAGTCAAGGTTGTGTCTAGAAGGACATCCAATGTTTACAGTTTTATTACCGCCTTGCTTGGCAAAACAAATATAATGGACCGAGGCAGTGAGGGGAGGGTCAATGTGAAAAAGTGAGCTGTTGCGGCCCGATAATGTGATGGAAGTGTTGACATGTGCAACCAACTGTTCATGAAAAACAGGAAACAGATTTATTGCTGAGGGAAGATGAATGATGAAGTTTGCCTTTTGTTTAAATTAGGGATGCGCGATATATCGGTATTGATATTGGTATCGGCCAATATTGCCAATTTTTTAGAATATCAGTATCGGTGCGATATGTAAAATTGGGCCGATATTAACGTCCGATATTGATTTCCCACTTTTTATCTTTATGTTTCTGTTTTGGGAGGGGAGATGGTTGGTTGAGCGGCATCTGTTTGATCATAATGGTGATATTGACGCTGCGCAGCCAGGAATAACTACAGAGTCATGTCAGAGGTCTGGTTGTTAGTTTACGTTATCAAAAAAAGACCCAAGTGTGTTTGTGTGTGTATATGTATAATGTAATTTGTGTGTTTGTGTAATATCAGTAAATGTCGTTTATCAGCCATAACAGCAATAATTATATCAAATATCGATATCGGCTGAAATTTTCAAATCTATGCATCCCTAGTTTAAGTGTTACCCACTAAGAGAATTGCTAAATTGAGTGAATTCATCATATTATGAAAACAACACGATGGACATGTGCATCACACGGTTAATGTGTTGCACTCTAAATCAACCCAGCTGAGCTCTGCTCCATTGCTCTTTTGGTTCTGCAATTCTTAATCCACTTTGAAAGCTTACTTCTCTGCTGGATGTGGCCGGGTCCCACTGTGATCCACCAACGGCCAAAGGCAGGATGAAGATGGACTGGTGGTTGCTGTTGTTTACTGTATTGTGAAAGAGCCTTAATATGTGCATGATTTTGGTCTGTGGGAGGAAACCAACATAAATAACAGTAAAAATAAAAATTCAATTAAAAAGTGCTCAAAGAAGGGTTTAGGGTTAATAGTCTACTAATTTCCCCTTTAGGGCCAGTGGGCCTCTTGGTCCAGGATTTCCACTCTCTCCTAAAAAGGATAATGCTTTAATGGCTTTGACATTTTTAAAGTTTGAGTAGTTTTAGATGGCCCAGATATTCACAGATGTCCAGCTGTTACTTTAGCAAACTTCTCGCTGATTCTCCAAACTGTCTCTTACATCTGTATGCAGACTCAAATGCTTAAACGGATCAAAAGCACAAAATGCACATTTTTTATTAGTATGTCCTTTTAAAATTCACACCTTGAGTGTGAAGCAAGTTTACCATTGTTACACTGAATTTTCCATCAGTGCGTCAAGACTTGCTATCCAAACTTGTTCACATCGAGTACAGTAAGTATCCGGAAAAAGTGGAGTGGACGTACTGACCGGCATAAAGTCCTGCTGCCTGATCTGATGGTAACTGTAAGTAAACAGTGTCCCCTTTTCGTAAGGGAAGTACAGCACTCCCTGAAGCCTGATCCAGCAAACCCTTTTTGTACTCGTCATAAGTGTACATTACTGGCTCGTTGTTCTTCGTCAGTGCCACCCAAACATTACTTCCTTTGCAGTGAACATGGTAAGCAAAGTAGTAGATTCCTGGTATGCTACAAGTGAAAATACCATTTTGAGGATTGTAGTCCTGATTGCCATTGTGCAGAAGTTTATCAAAGATGATGGGAGAACCAACAAGAGGGAATGGATTGGTGAGCTTTGCAGTGAAAGCAGGCATCTTCAGGGTGGTTCCGCTGATTTCGACTCCATTCTTTAGTTTTTCGTTGCTTTGACCATTGTGGGGGCCACTGTGAGGGAGAATCTGGCCAAGGTCTGGATACGCAGACGATAGTCCTGGGGGACCTGGGGGACCTGGTAGTCCAGGTCGCCCTGGAAGTCCAGGTGGACCGCTGGGACCAGGGCTTCCTTGAGGACCACTTTGGCCAGGTGGTCCAGGATTACCATTACCAGGATAACCAGGGTTACCTGTCAGACCTGGTTCGCCTTTTTGTCCTGGAAGACCAGGAGGTCCAATTGATCCCCCTGGTCCTGTAATTCCTGGAATACCCTGTGGTCCTGAGTGACCTTGGTCTCCAGGTTCTCCTCCCTCTCCTTTTGCTCCTGGTAATCCTGAAGCACCAGGGGCACCAGGTAAACCTCTAATGCCAGTTTCCCCTTTAGGACCAGTGGGCCCTTGTAAACCTCTTGGCCCAGGATGTCCACTCTCTCCTAAACCACCAGGCTGTCCTGGAAGACCTGAAGGTCCTCTTTCACCCTTAGTTCCAGGCATTCCTCTTGGGCCTCCAGCACCATCCTCTCCCTTTAGTCCTGGGAAGCCAATATCACCGGGAAGCCCCATTAGGCCTGGTGCACCAGACATTCCATTGAGTCCAGTTGGACCAATTACACCTGGAAGTCCTACTTGACCTTTTTCTCCTTTTGTGCCTGATGGACCTGGAAGTCCAGCATGTCCTTTGTGGCCCTTAGATCCTGGAAATCCTGGTTTACCATAGCCAGGCAACCCTGGAGGCCCAGTTAAACCAGGAGGTCCTGTTTCACCTTTTCCCCCTGGGAGGCCTGGTTGACCTCTAAAACCATCGTTTCCAGGTTTCCCAATTCCCGGAATTCCTGGAAGTCCTGTTTGGCCTCTTTCACCAGGTTGTCCTGCAAGCCCAGGTTCTCCTGGAAGACCTGGCTTCCCTGGTAGCCCTGGCTGTCCAGGTAGACCGTTAGGGCCAGGTTTACCATTGCCAGGGAGGCCTGCTTGTCCAGGTGGACCAGGTGGTCCGCTAGGTCCTTTCAAACCGGGAAAACCAGGTATACCAAGTCCTTTGTCTCCCTTTTGGCCAGGAGGACCAGGGAATCCAGTTGGGCCGTTTTGACCAGGTTCACCTGAAAGACCAGGCAGCCCTGGTAGACCCTGACCTCCTGCTTTTGAAGTCCCAGGGAGTCCAGTGGGACCTGGGAGTCCTGGAGGCCCTGGAAGTCCAGTTGGTCCATTTCCCCCTATTGGACCAAGGTCACCTTTTGGTCCTGGTAGTCCAGGGCCTCCAGGTTTTCCAGGCAAGCCTGGCATACCAGGTTTTCCAACTCCTCTGTAGCCTTGAGGACCAGGCGGCCCTGGCTTTCCTGGTAAACCTGGTAATCCCTGTCCTGATGGTCCAGGAGGGCCCTGTGGACCTAGTGGCCCAATTGGGCCAGGGGGCCCCTGAATTCCTTGTGGTCCTTCTGGGAAACCTTGTCCGTCTGGAATAGGTACAGGTGGACCCTTGGCTCCTCTTGGAAACGTTTGTCCTGTGAATAAACGAAAACACAGAAATAATGACTCTCACTTATTAGTTAAATGATTGTTGTCCATTTGATTTTATTCATGTCTTCCTACTCATATTTGCGGGAAGCTATGGTTTGTTTCCATTGGGAGAATGGCCCACTTAGAGATAAACAAACATTCATACTTACACTTGCACCCAGTGACAAGCAACTCACCTTTGCCCTTTGTCAGTAGTCTTTGTTTTCCCATTTGCAACGGCAGCTGAGGAAACTCATTTCCATACTGAGGCAGCAACGGCATCTCATTTCCCAGAAACGGTTGTTGTTGAAAGCCTTCATTCTGCTGAAGTATGGGCTGGTGCTGTTGTGGAGGCTGTTTTTGTCCATAATATGCCCCACCCTTAACCATGTGCAACAAATACAAATGGAACAGAAAGACGAGATGATCGAAACCGTGGAAGGGTACAGCCACCATTTTCTGTTGTGAAGAAGGAGAAAAAAATTGGTTGTATTCCTTTTGTCTAAAAATGTTATCTGATGTAAGAAGGAAGCAAACTGTAAAGACTGACCAAAGAACTACCGGTACATTGTTCAGTTCAGTTCATGATTAAGGGTTCAACATTTCTTAACGTTTGTAAGTAAATTTGACAATCCACGTACGTGTTAAAAATAAGAACACGCTCATGAAGACAATACTGTTCTAATTTTGGACAGAGAAGATAAGTAGTTTGAGAGAAAGAATAATGTTAAACAAGAAAAAAGAAAACTTTAAACAGAGGTCATCACTGGTTGTGATGTGGCATTAGATTCTAATCTGTTTCATGTGTTCTGCTTGAATTTGCATTTTCATTCATGGAACCAAAACTACTTTCATGGGGGACTAGACTAACAAAGACCCTTTGTCCCTCTTTGTGTAAAATGTTCTTTAGATTTGAATTTGATATCCCAACTAAATCAAAATATGTATAATAAACAGTATTCAAGGTTGAAATAAAAGGTACAACAAACCCAGAGCTTTTAACATTGCAGATTCTGCAGCCATCATAATGTACACTGTAATGCAATTTCAACAGAGCACGTTTTGAAATTGATTTAAAATGCTGTTCTGTTGGGGAAAAGAAATAAGGTCAGTCAGCCACAACTTCTTCCAAAATCTTCTTTTGATGTTTAAGTGCTTGAATGCTTGAAGACATTGCAGGTTATTTAAAATAATTATTTCCTCTTCTGTCCTACATGTCTTATACCCGCCTCTCTAATTGGCTTTATTGTTTTTATGCCCTCTTGTTTAGGTCAAAGTAAATTACATACTTTATATACAGTACAGATAAAATCATATAATTACGAGGCTCTGCTGGGAAGTGGTAAGTTTTGAACAGGATCCTTAATTTTTCAAACATGTTTCTGTTTTGACAATCTGTTAAGTTCTGCCAAAGGAACTCTGAAAAAATAAATACTGTATGAGTGGATGAGTATACGCTTCGCTCAGCAGTGGTATTTGTGTAATTAGTGGATCAAAGCTTTGGAAGCGCTGCAGGTATTAAAGTATGATTTGCTTACATTTTATTACAGAACAAGTTCTTGATAAACTAATCCAGGAGGTATTGGGCAAAATGTTTCCAGTGGAGATATTTATCTCACCATGAGCATGGATTAAAAGCTATGCATAAATTTAAAAACTGGGTAAAGAGAGGCAGCCATGTTTATTTTCACAATTTGGTTTGCAGTTGTAATAGTGTTTTGTTATATAAAAATACACAAAGATGATTTTCAAAACACTGAATCCAAAAATTAAATTTTTTTCCTTCTTAGGACATACATTAATTTTTTGGTGATTGGATAAAACATAACAAAAAACAGCTTGCTAGCTAATTATCTTAAAAAAACAGAAAGCCTTCCCACATAGCAATATTTGTAATAACACTTGGCCCAAATACTGCAAAGACTGATGGTCTTTTGATGGCCCAGATGTGATTTGCCAGATACGGGCCAGCACCACATAAACCAAACCATATGAGGTCCAGTTGTGCTGTGCCATCTTAAAAACAGAGCCATCATTGCCAAAACTGGCCCAAATCTGATTGACAAACCATTTGCCATGCCAGGACTCAGCCAGCAGTGCCAGCTTGACACCAGGGGCCTCATGTATAAACGGTGCGTACGCATAAAAACGTTGTGTGCATCAGGTTCTACGCCCACGTTGGGATGTATCAAAACCAACGCTGCGTGAAAGTGTGTGTATATTTACACACACTTTTCACCTGCTGTGAGAATGTGCAGCAGCCACGCAAAGTTTTTCAGTCGACAGTTTTAACCCACAAAGTCACGAATCTGACCTGAATCCACAGAAATATGACTCTGTTGTGTTTTCTGGATGTAAGGAGCATCTGAATACGGTGTTAGATTTTTATTTTAGTTTGAGTTTTTATTGTTTAAACTCGAATGATCATGAAACTGAACCCCGGGACTGAAAATCATTTAACCTCAGACAAGAAAATGGATCAGCCTAAAACTGATCAACAAACCTCAGTCCAGTCTGTAAACTGTAATGTTTTTATATTGTTGTCACGTACTGTAGCTGGAAACACACGTGGAGCGCACACACAGCTGAGGAGAATATAATGTGTGAATTGTTTAAGAAACATTTTAATTCTAACTGAGAAAAAAAACTTTGTCAACTCAGCAGATTAATTCAGAACAGCTCAGCTGTGATGATTCCYCAGCYCCACAAGATGCAGACAATAGATTTGTTGCTGCGTAAAGTTGTGTGYAATTTATGGATCAATGTCAACTGTTGTGCAGGCTGATATCACMMMARRA